ATATATAAATTGAGCAAATATATATATAAGCCATAACGTAAAATGGATTCTGCCGCAGCTGCCGCCGCCGCCAAGCGCGTGCAAATCGAGAAGGCGCACAACTTTATGCGCCAATATCGCGATCCCGAATCGCGCGAGCTAAAGAAACTATCAGCCAATCAGTTCATGGATGTGTGGGCACACTACGATAAGGACGGTGGGTATATACAAATCGCTCTTTATTCGACTGCCTCGACTTTACTTATTCCACAGGCAACGGCTATATTGAGGGCACCGAGCTGGATGGGTTTCTGCGCGAGTTTGTGTCCAGTGCCAATGTGACAGACATAAGTCCAGAGGTAAGCAGGAGACAAAAGCAACTTCTCCATTTGTGCTATCAAAACCTCATCAAAATTCCTCTCTTCTGCTCTATCGCTCATTCCTCTTCATTCAGGCTGTCACCGACACAATGCTGGAGGAGCTGAAGTCCTGCTTCATGGAGGCCTACGATGATAATCAGGATGGCAAAATCGATATCCGAGAGGTAAGACACATGCATTTTATGCTCAGCTCACTCACAACTGCAAAGCATATTTGTTTGTAGCTTTGCTGTTTTAGAACTTCCAGCGACATTTTAAGCTGCTTTTCTTTTTGTTTGCCGTTGCTTTCGCTTATTTTACGCTCTGCCACGCCCACACGTGTCGTTTGCGCAATGTTGCTGTACGTGCATATCTTTCCATGACATCTATTTTGGAGCTTAGCACTGAGCGCGTGTCCCAGTCGAAGTTTCAATTTGCGCGTGCTTTGATATTACTCTGCAGCATGCTGTCTATTGATGGTCAACATCAGCTTAAGCACTAGTAAACACAGCTCCAGCTGACTCATGTTAACCCACAGATGTCAACTCGATATAGTGTAGAGTAAGAGTGTAAAACAATTCGAATCTGATTAAAAATTTACTTATTAATATAATAAACAATTTCAGAGCCTTCAAATATATTTATATTAAAGAAATATAACCAACTAGTATTTATAACAGATCAATATTAGTTTACCTCTTGCCTTGAAATCTTTACCTCAACATCTTGCATCACACGTACTTCGTGTTTCATTGCCCCAATGTTGGCAACTGTCGTCCATCTCTAGGGAGAGTCTTGTTCCACATTTGCTGCTGCGTTTTGGAAATTGCTTTTTAAATGATGCTGTAACATTTGTGCACTCTCACCCCCGCACCCGCTCTTGCTCTTCCTTGTCGCTGTCTGACTGCGCCAATTTGCTGTGGCTCAATAATTTATTTGGCCATTTCGCCATTTGCCAAGGCCCCAACTTTTGCGCCAAGGTCTACGAAAAAGTTTTTCCCGCTACCTCCTTAAAATGAGTTTTTAATTGAGGCTTACAGCCGCCGACACAGCAATATTTCGAGTGGCTTTAAAAATTGAATGAACGAGAGACACGAGAGGAACGACTGTTGCCTACATTGTCGCCTGGCCTCACATGATAAATGAGAGAAAGTTTGTGCCAGGTAGCAGTTTCTAGTTATCTCTGATTATTGTTTTGTCCGAACCCTTTGTGACTTCAAAAAGCACTCAGCTACCCGAATCATTCATCATTTATTCATTCCCTTACAAAAGTGTTACGCATACGCCATGTGGCACATCTGAGATTTTGGCATATTCAACATTTTCCTCAGCTTTCGTCTGCTGCTTTCAAGGTTCTCGTTTCGCTACAGTTCTGTTTGCCTAAGCTCAGCCAAAGTGTAATTAACTTAAGTGCTGGCAAAAAATATCTAAATTGTTGTTTAATGAAATTAAAAGCAGCAACTTTCTGCATGCCGCGGCATTTAGTTGCCAGTTTTGGTTGAAATTCGAATCGACACTTTGACTATGCAAAGTTTTGAGTTGCAATTCGTCTGCCACGAGGAAAGAAATTACAGCCTTCGGGCTTAGGCAAAATATTTTCAGTGAAATTGAAGCACAAACTCCTGCGAGTTTGTTCTCCGTTCTCCGCCCCAGCCATTCATACAAGCGGCTTAAGTCTGCAGCTGCAAAATGTTGATTCCCGTATTGTGAAAGGCGATTTACTTGAATTTCTGTTAGTTTTATCGATTAGTTGCAGTGATAGAGCATCAAGTTTGCTTAAACGTATACTTTAGTCTCAAAGGGCAACTAGGTTTCCTATATTGAAGAGGAATCAGCTTTCATCTTGATGTAATTCTTCCAACACAGCATCAACTTGCACTGATGAATAATAATTTGATAGAAATTGATATGAATTTCAAAAATTCGTTTGATACTGTCTGATAAATACCTCCTAGCCCACTAATAGCCCTTTTGAGTCATGTTTAATGCCACGATTTTTATTCTCATCTCTAATATTTGCCCACTTTTTCAACAGCGTAGTTTTGTTATGAGTGCGTAAATGTTTTTATTACACTTTTCTTTTACAAAAATTTACTTTCTCAAACTTACTCCAATTGCTTGCATTTATCACACTTTTCACATTCAGTACATGCTTGAAGCGAAAATTATGCTTAAAGTTAGTTCAAGTTCAAGTGCCTGCACTCAAGTATTTTCGCTTAACACATATCTTTTCCTTTTTCTTTCGAAAATTAATGTATTTACAGCTTGCCCAACTTTTGCCCATGGAAGAAAATTTCCTTTTGCTCTTCCGCTTCGATAACCCCTTGGAATCAAGCGTCGAATTCATGAAGGTAAGTGCTGGTCAACGAGGCGTTAAACAAGCAGCAGCCCCCAAGGCTCGGCTCCTCCTGGAGGACTGGCCGAGTGGACCGAGAGGAAAGCCAAGGCTGTCCCCAAATATTTCCCTCTAATTAATTTTTCTCACGATGCTATTTGGTCGATTAGATCTGGCGTGAATACGACACTGATAATTCTGGGTACATTGAGGCGGATGAACTAAAGAATTTCTTACGTGACTTGCTCAAAGAGGCCAAAAAGATCAATGATGTCTCCGAGGATAAGCTCATTGAATACACAGACACCATGGTTCGTATACATAATATTTAGCTAGATAAATCATAGTTCATTATAAGCAAGTGTCATGCTAGCAAAAATCGCTGACCACTCAATGTCAATGTTGTCCTCAACACTTTGTTTGCCAAGTCAAGCGTAAAATACGGCAATTAATTTCTGGCGTGGCGAGAATTATGCGAATCTGCGCCGCAATTTATATGCACTCAAAGTGCTGTTAATTAAAAACTTTATAATGGAAAAACGCCAAGCAGATGTATATATATATATATATATATATATGTGTGTGTGTGTGTGTGCCACACAGTTTGTTGTGTCTGCAACTCCTAAGGCAGCCGCATCACACTCTCTTCTTCTTATCTTCTTCTTCTTTGGGCTTGCTTGTGATAAGTTGTGCCTGGTTCATAGACTTCTCCGTTCTAGACATTATTTTCGGTGCACGTATCACAATAAATGATGATAAAATGTAGCTCGCTGGCGGAACTCGCAACTCATTTGCAAGTTAAATTGCCAGCGCTCAAGATAGAAGCGAAAAGTTGTCAAAGATTAAATGCAGTTGAGAAAATTCAGCAACAAATTGTTTCTATATAAGATAGGCCAGCAATAAAATTAAATATGACATCGTTTAAAACAAAACTTTATTGCATTATCTACAAAGCCATAAAAGCTGCGAGAAATGTATTTTATCAGTAGACTTTGAGTTTTCAAGTCTATTTTAATACACATTTGAAATCCTAATTGATGTCCGTCTCTTTTTTTTTTAATTTAGACAATCCAAAACAGTTAAAATTAAGAATTTATTAAATTTGCCAGATCCTTTCTCAAGTATTTAGTTGATAAATTTAAGCAGACAATCAATAAGCACACACACAAAAAAAAAAAAAAAAAAAAAAAAAAAAAAAAAAAAAAAAAAAAAAAAAAAAAACTTTAAGAGCAAAACCCTCGAGAGTGCTCCGCCTAACGAATCGACCATGAAAAATTTATTTCGATTTTCCGAGAAACGAATTGCGAAATATATATATTTGTATATATGCCGGCTAAAATTTGGCACGACTTGCACTTGGGGCAAACAGAATCATGCGAAGAGAGCATTTTGCAACTTACTTAAGTCGATTTACGAGAATGTGTTTATTCTTGGGGCTGGTATACGTGGTCTCCAGAGACACAACCAATTTATGTATCATTAATTAGGTATAAAAGTTCTGTCATTGAGCTCATTATGTTTGCCTTCTCCCCTTCTGCCTTTCTCTCTCACACAAAACAGCTTCAAGTGTTCGATGCCAATAAGGATGGTCGTTTGCAGCTCTCGGAAATGGCCAAGTAAGTAGAGCAATGCCGCAGTGCTTGTCAATGACAAAAACGTCGAACTTATTTATTACAGACTACTTCCGGTTAAAGAGAACTTCCTTTGCCGTCAGGTATTCAAGGTAAGTGCCAAGTATTATGATAGCCATTGAGACGAGGAAATTACGTTTCGCTAGCCAGTCAGCTGAGGCTGACCTCTTGAGTTCTTACTCAAACTACATATATTTGTGACTATATTTTACACTAGCACATAGGTTAAATTTAGCTTTAGCTTTAGCTTTAGCTTTAGCTTTAGCTTTAGTTATTAACTAGCTGCCGCCTGGACTAAACATCAAGCCAACTATCTATGCAAGCGCAATGCGTATGATTTTATTACCTTGTCTCTTATTTATTTTTATTTATTTTTTATTTTCATTTTACTGTCTGTGTCTGCTCAAAGACCTATCAGCCACGTTTTGCTCTATAAACGTAAAATAAAAAGCCAGCGAAGCGCACAAACGCTATGAAATTGCATTGCGCAGCAAAAAACAATGAATCAGGGAGCAGCAGCTGCCGTTGTCAACGGCTGTAGCCGACTGTTCAATGCTTCAGCTGGGGCCAATAGAAATGCCTTGACTATAAATAAATCAGGGGACTCAGTAACTGTAGAGGCAACACAGCAATAGATAAGATAGTTGAACAACTAAGAATTGTGGTTTAGAAGCCACTTTTCTTATTTGCTTATCTTACGAAGAATCAGGTGTCTTTTGTTCATATTGAGCTTCAAAATTTTAACTTTATTTATTTAAATTTTTTGCTTCTAAATTAATAAAGAAAAAAATAAACAAAGCAGCCAGCACGACGTATACATTATATTGACTTCATAATCGAAGTACTAAATTTATAGTTATATTTTGATTGGAGATCTCATGATTATTGTACTTCTCAAAAACTTTATGGGCTACAATTTTTATGGATATGTACCAGCATATATACAAAATTTACTGCCCTCAGCTGCGCCATCTAAGCACAATCTATTGAGAGTGTGAATATATATACAAATATCATATCTATATGTATGTATATATATCTTACAGTATCTCCATGAAACATTAAAGGTTCAGCAAGCCTTAAGACTTCATAAGAATAAATATACAATCACTTTGAGAATGTTCGCTCATTATACTCCTTTTCACTGTCTGAACAGAGTATATTAATAAGGCGTACACCACGGCGTATGCGTGATGTCAAAGAACACAGGAGACAGCAAAATCAAACACCTGTGTGCTGTGTGTTGGTTCGTTTTACTCTTGACTTCCCTCTTTCAGTGGGAGGAGAGTGAAGTATTCCCCCTTTGGTACGCTGAAAACAATTCCAGTACAGCCCAGAGAACCCGATTGTCATCCCTTAAATATATATTTATCTTGCGTCAGCTGCTTTTGTCTGCCGCTTCAATGGGCGAGCAATAAAAAGCCAACTTTCGTGATTTTTCCTGTGGCAAATAGGCAAAGGAATCTGTTTAAAAAAATTATAAATACAATCGGGCTCGACCAAAACTTTTGACTTTGTAATTAACACAGAACACCTGTCAGCTGGCAGCACAATTGCTGGACATTCAGTGACAATGCTGTCGATACAGAGCTTGAGCTGGGGAACGGGTGCGAATTTTTGTTGGTCACATTTCAGAATTTATTCGACATTAAAAAAATAAGCGCAGCGTCTGCTCAAAATGCGCCCATTGGGGGTTAAATGGAGCGCACAATTCGGCTCGACTTCAGTCCACTTGGCCGCGCTCTCTTGTGGGCCATTGTTGTAGCCGACTCGAGCAGCTGGCAGACTGACTGACCGACTGACTCACTGACTGACTGACTGATCCTTGGAAAAAAAACGGAACGTAATTGGTCACCAGGCCACATAGCAAAACCAAGTTGGCCATAACTTAAAAAAAGCCATACACGATGCTGCGAACTTTGACTGCAATATTTGCCAGAATATTTTCTGTTCGTTTCACATCACGTGGCCTTTCAGCATGCTCAGCAGGATTTGAGGCCGAACAAAAGGCATGCACAAGGGGTAGTCAAGAATGAAATGCACTCGAGTTTGGGATCAAAGGATAACTTAAAAAAAAGACTAACTCAACGTAATACCAATCCTTTGAGCTGTTCAAGTATGAGTACAAACAAAGCCATTGATAGGAGATTGGCTCAATGTAAATCAAATAATTAAGCAATTACCAAAACTCATAAAATTAAATGTTCGCCTATACGTCATTTGTAAAATCTAATTTAAATCGTATTTTATTATATTTCTTATTCTTTATAAAAATAACAGTCTTAATTTAAAGGTCTTAAAACCTCAAAGTTTATTTAAAAAATAAAAATTGCCATTTAAAGAATTTAATTGAGAATATAAAATGAATGAAAACATTGAGTAATTTTATATATATTCCTTACTTTACTCCTCCTAGTATCTACATGAAGGTTCTTGCTAGATATTTTAATATTATTCAATAACAAACCTGAAGTAATTTCCTTTGCTGTTGACTTTCATGAGCTAAGCTTTCCAGCTACACCAAGTTAAGTTTCCTGTGTTTGCTTAGCCCACATAGCTCAACTACGCTACAAATTCCACAATCTCCTGACAAACCCTAACATATGGATTAGGTCGGAACTCTGTGTGTGTGTGTGCGTGCATGTGTATGTGTCTATGCCCAGCAGCATTCCTTGAGCAAACTCTTTGCTATTACAGCTACTTTTGGCGCATGTAACGCCAGCAGATGTCCAACCTTGTCCGTGGTCAGCTACATGGCTTGGCATTGGCTTTTCCCTTCCGGATTGCGCTATTGTTGTTAATCAACTGACTTCGACAAGGAGCAGCGAAGCATTGCAATGCGACAGTTGCTAGCTTATTGTTATTTGCAGCAAATGTACGTGATGCACACCCATACAAATATATCGTGTAGATATCGTATTTCGGCTGAAAACTTAAACTGTCTATGCGCTCTCTGAAGAGTGCAGCAACATTTGGTGTCACATGGCGTATGCGCAATTTTAATTAAACCACACTAACCGCACTTGACAAGTGGTTTTAGCGACAACTGATAGCAGAGCTGATCGCTTCAGTTTACAATGTTGGCTTTGTTCGATTTACATAGTGTGGCACTAGCCAAAGGCAATGGTATTGCAAATGCTGTGCAACGCGGCGAATGCGTGATGTGCACAACCATGTGCAATGCGAGCCACATTTACAGTTCGCCACCAGACACCAACCGAAAGTCAGCCATTGCCCATTGTTACAGCTGAGTGCACGCCGACATTTTATTTGGCTTTTATTGGCAACTCCCTTGCCTGCTGGTGCCACGCCCCATGCATGTAGGAGACAGTAACGTAACATGTGGCAAGCAGCAAGCCGTTGATGTGGCAGCCGTTGATACGGCAGCAGATGCTTAAAGCGCCAGCTCCCTCTACTACTCCAATTATAATGCACATTGGCTGGCCATATGCAGCTGTCGTTAAATCATAATTTAGATGAAGCCGCGAGGCACCTGCAGCTGCGAGATAAGCATTCACCTGGACTCTAGCGACTTTGTTGCAGCAGGGCGCGCAATAAAACGCTGCAAGCTTAAGCAGCCATTAAATTGGCATTTCCAGCCCATTTGGCCATAACATAATGCGCATCAAGTCTGACGGAAAGCCGTGCCGGCGCCCATTCCATTGCGCAATAAAAATGAAAATATAAGCATGCATCAACATTTTTACAGCCAGCAAGTGGCAGCCCCAAGACTTATGAGTTACGGCATGTTGACTGCAACAGCCAGGTGAAATGCCAGCCAGGTAATTGCCAGCCTCAATTACACTGCATAGCAAAAACGAAGGGGCGGGACAATATATGAAATGTAAGCAGATAATTATCCTGCTAACAGAGCTGTCTAAGTGGACATTGTCATTAGCCAAAGCTGCGCTGGTTCAAGCACAGCCCAAAGAGAGACCCTATGTCATATAAAAGTATATACATATAACTTTTATTACGCATAGAAAAGAATCCTTTTCGTATAACAAGCGAGCTCAGTCTCAATCTGGTATATAGTCTCAGAGTCTAGTATAAGTATAAGTAGAAAAGGACAATGTGTCCTGTACTCTTAAATTTAAAAATATCTTAAACACAACACTTTTGTATGCAGTAATTGAATAAAAATAAAGTGTCCCATATAAATAAAATAAATAAAAAATCGATAATTTAAATATTTTATAAACTTTATATTGTACTTTACTTAGTCGCTTGGGAACGCTCTTTTATATTTTATATTTACTCTACATACACCTACAAGTGCTGACAATGCATTCTCTCTTTTTACTCCTTTCATTTTTCATACATGAATCATGCTGGATACATGCCTCACCTTTCTGTTCCACCTGTTCCAACTATTGTCGAGCAACATATGCAAATAAATGGCTAAAAGCGTTTTTGCAATCGTTGACTCAACCTACACCTCTTTTATTTTACTTTATGTAGTACATTGAAACATACAACAAACCCAATTTCGTACTACCTGCACATGTTAGCTAAAGGAATATACCCGGTAAAGCTTTTGCAAAGAACTTTGTATGCTTGTCAAACAAACAGCTCGCAATGAAAGTTTATTTGAATGACATAAACAATGTGAGCGCACAATGGAACTTGATATAAGAAGAGCAATTGCTGAAGAGTCGAAATTAAAATAATGAAGCCAGGGTCGCTTTAAGACTAAGAGCCATTTAAAATAGTTCAAAATCTACAACAAAGAGAAACCAGAACTTGTTTAGTCAACAATCAGTAAACATTCCAAAAACTTTTCGATCTGCATAGCCTTGGAAAACTCTTCCGATCTCAAATGGAATTTATTAAATATTTATTTTAAGAGTTGACTTAACTAAATTTAATGTCGTTTATCTTTTACTTACACGTATATTATACGGATGCAAATCACACGTCTCGTGGTGTCAGACGCAATCCTCCAAGGACATGAGCAAGGGGTTGACATACTCAAAGCCCTCGAATTCCGATTGATCGATGTTGCCAATGACATGGCTAATGGGAAGAGAACAATTTATTAGTGAAATTCAAATTTGAGTGCTTGTTATATCAGTTAATCAATATCGAATTGTATAGAAAGGAATATACCAAAAATGAAAAAGAAAATAGAATGGGAAAAACTTACTCATCATCTGGAGTCAGCTGCACTGGTTCGTTTTTTTTTTTTTTCGGGAAATTGGCCAGATCACGATCAGAGTCTAGGCGTGGCTTGAATGGAGGCGAAACCTGTTTGCGTTCGAGCTGCATGAGGTTGAAATTGGCATGTGTTTGGTGGTTTTTTTTTTTTTTTTTTTTTAGAGTGTATGTGTGTGTGCGCGCAGGATATATATGCAAATTTTTTTTTTTTTTTTTTTTTATAGCTAAAGATAGTGCCAGCCAATTTCGGCAAACGTAATTTTTTTTTTTTTTTTTTTTTAGGACACATTTCAAATGCATGTCCGTGTGAGTTCTATGTTTTTTTTTTTTTTTTTTTTTTTGTGTGTGTTTTGATGATGATAATGATGATAAGTAGATATTTTTTTTTTTTTTTTTTTTTGTGTGTTTTTTTTTTTTAAGAGAGGGGACAGCGGGCGGATTTTTTTTTTTTTTTTTTTTTAACATTATTTTTTTTTTTTCTGACCACTAATGCTATGAATTTTTTTTTTTTTTTTTTTTTTATATATTTTTTTTTTTTTTATTGTCTCATGCTTCGTGGTTTTTTTTTTTTTTTTTTTTTAAAACTATTTTTTTTTTTTTTTTTTTTTCGTTTTTGTTTTTTTTTTTTTTTTTTTTTTTTCATTTCATTTTTTTTTTTTGACACAAAACTTACGGATCATCTGGCGTCAATTCAG